TACTTTTATGTTTAAACTTTCATTCCACACCTCCCCCACCAATAACAACTGGTTTGTTCTAAATGGTGCATATCTGGAAGGTAATGGTTGGAACTCGCTAGTCTTGTGCCTTAGCACCAGACAATGCAGTCACCCCATAATACACTGCCTGTACCACACTGGTGAAGTACAGTGGGCCATGCTTATAATTTTGTCTTATTTTACTGGAAAACAAATGGGTGTTTCTCCTTAGCCTGCTTCTCTTAACGGCTTCTCACTCTTTAGCTAGAAGAGGAAAACTTCTAAGATGAATATTTGCTGTGCACACCCTGTTGGCAAATGAATCCCAGATTATCATCATTTTATTGGAACTAATAACTGGTTTCCATAGGAACAGAGACAGAAGCCACTTTAAGATATTCGTAGCAATCAAATGATCATATTGACCATACCCTGGATACAACAAATTCACATCTGAAGGCTCATAGCACACCAAGTGGTATAAACAAGCTGTTTCACTAGTACCATGCTATCATCATAAATTAATTTAGTTTCACTAATAAATGATTGTTTCATCTTTCAACAAGTTAGAACATAAGAATGGCCATATTGGGTCAGACCAAAGGTCCATCTAGCCAACAGTGGCCAATGCCAGGTGCTTCAGAGGGAATGAAAAGAACGCGTAATCAAGTGATCTATCCCCTGTTGTCCACTCCCAGTTTCTGGCAAACAGAGGCTAGGGACAACATCCCTGCTCATCCTGGCTAATAGCCATTGATGGAGCTATTCTCCATGAACTTATTTAGTTCTTTTTTGAACCCTGTTATAGTCTTGGTCTTCACAACATCCTCTGGTGAGAAGAAAAAACCCAAAGGCTGTTTTCTTATATCTTGTTTTAGTCGAGTAACAAATTGTTTGTAATTCTCCTGGAACTGCCAACATTTATTATAATGTTAAGTTACATTACTAACAAAACATGAGATAATAATACCTACCATTTAGATAGAGCTTTTCAACAGCAGATATCGAAGCACTTTACAAAGGAAGGTAGCATCATTATCCCAATTCTATCCATTAGACCACAGCATCTCCCCACAGAATATTTATGTATCATATGCCTAAGGACAAATTCTGCTCTCATTTACACCTATGCAATTTCCAGTGAAGTCAATTGGATTTAGTGGGTGGAACTGAAAACAGACTTTCGCTCTCAATACTTATACTCACTACAGTCCTTCCAATCAAATACCAAAATGCACAATTTTTAAAAAACTAGAGGACTAGTTTCTTTCCCCACGGTGGGTACTTAATATTGCCCTTTTAAACTCAGCAACTTAAACAATTAGTGAACTGAAGAGGTGCTGCAATTCCCTGTCTTAATTCTGTTAGTGTGTATAAGACTTAAGACATACATTTGATCACATAACTAATTTTCCTATTATATAAACTTATGATTTTTAAAAGTTAGATTTATGGCCATGAAACTCTCATCGTGACCATTTATTTTCAATTATGAATTAATTTCAAAGAAACCAAGATACCATTTAAATTTTCAATAGAAGCTGAGTAAAACATTTAGAACTAGCAACTGCAAACTGCAACTGAAATATGATTGCATCCACATTTTTAGGCTACCATTTGGAGCATTATTTTTATTACTTACACGCACACACACACACACACACACACACACACACACACGTCATTCTGATATTATCTTTACTCAGACACAAACAACTTTCTCCTGTTTTCTTCACTTACAACGCAAATCATAATTACACAGAACTTCTTAAAAATATCTAAAATTATTGAAATATTACTATGCACCCACACAAGGCAATCTAGTAAAACAGCACTTTGCCACACAAATCTTATCCATGTTTCTACAGTAACCCATTTTGCAATTTCAATTATTTTTGTCAAAATAGCCAACAGAATTATCTGTTTCCTATTTTTATTCTGATCCCAATCACCATAACATTCATTAAACATGTCAGGATTTCTATTTTTATTTTTAAAAGATGTATACTTGATTTTTTTCTGCAAACCAATGACAGTTATCCACCTCTCTCACCTACACCTAACTTGCTATTATCTAGAATGCAAGATCTGTAACTTCTAAGACTTAGATTACTTTTAAAAAGAAGCTTTCTCTAACATAGCATCCATAGGAAGCCAATTTATTTCATAGACTGGAAGAAGAGCTATGTGTAAACTCAAGTTTGTCTCACTCACCAACAGATGTTAGTCCAATAAAAGATACTACCTCACCACCTTGTCATTCTAAAAACTTGGGACTATCACAGCTACACCACTGAATATTGTACCACTGCCATTTGCCATGAGGCACAAAGTTAGCAATAGCTTCCTTATTAATTGCTTACTGTTGCTTGAAAGCATGTTACATCTGCATTGGCTGGCCTTGAAACATTCAGCTTTATTGAACATTACTACAAGCAGATAAATGGTTTAAACACAGTAAGAATACATACATGCAATTTAAAATAGTAAGAGTCACTAAGGGCTAGTCTACACTGGCAGCGCTTTAACATGCCTTGTGTGGTCTCTCCCAGAGCTCTAAAAAAAAAAAAAACTCCACCTCAATGAGGGGCGTAGCTCCCAGCGCTGGGACACAGTTTACACTGGTGCTTTACAGCGCTGCAACTTGCTGCGCTCAGGGGGGTGTTTTTTCACACCCCAAGCGAGAAAGTTGCAGCACTGTTAATTGCCAGTGTAGACAAGCCCCAAGTCTTAAAACAGTACCTTTAAAGAAATCCCTCTCTAGCACTAACAAGGAAAATTAGCAGGCCATGTACTACAGGTGAACAAAGAGAAAGGTCAAAGGTGGAAGTGGGACTCTTAGCAATCTCCCCATTTCTCAACTGCTATTTGAACGGCTATGTTTTTCGGACCTTTCAATGATCATTACCATTTATTAATTATATTTAATTCTGGCTATAAAGCAACAACACACATTGATTACATGAAGGTTCAGGGGAAAACTAGGCTAATACCCACAGCTTACACTAAGATTTAAACTCTTCTGAAGCCTCTGCATAATTAGTAGCAACAAAGTTGACAGTTAAACACTCTGGAAGAGGTTGTGTAAAGGTATATGTGCACCTAAAAACTATCTGTGTTTTTCAACTCTTGATTGGACTAAGCTCTATTCCAGTGTCTTTTTTTTTTATGAACAGTTAAAAAGTAACCTCATAATTAATACATTAGATATGAAATAGAACAGCATATGGTAAAACAGATTATGGGATTAAACTAATTACATGATGACAACTCAGAAATCCACATCATCCTTCAGATCTAAATTTTGGGATGGGGGAGAACAAAATAGACTTTACATAATGCAAACATTAGAAACTATGTTTTGAAAAATATCAGGGGAGGGGGGGGAAGAAAAGAAAAGCACATGTTAAATAAGAACAAAGAACTTATGTTTAGGTATCTACTTGTTCTCCATGGGACTAACCTTGTAAACACCTACCACTGGGTATAGAATTTACTACTCTAAGTAGTCCCATAGGATTACAAAAATGGTCATAAACCCTATGCCTGGTAGTATTTACAAGTTTAGTCCCCATAAACTTACAATTTGCATCTATGTTTATAGGACCCATTCCTGGTACCCATATTCACAAGAGTAATTTCATTAAAATCAATTGGATAATTAATATGAGAAATGGATACTTATAAGGCTTGCAGGATCCAGTACAGTATTTATGTGAATTTGTAATAACTCAGAGGGGTAGTCAAAATGAAGAATTAGCCTATTCTTTAAGTTTTGGTTTGAATATAACATTAGAGACCCATTCAAGTTTGTTTTGACCACTTTCTTCCATAGGCATTGACATGGTTGTGGACTTTATATTTTTATACTGGAAAAAAAAATTATGGAAGACACTATACACAGCAATAACCAATTATGAAAGTTTTATCTCCTTGTAATTATACTGAGAAGTGTAGCATTTGGACTGACGTACAAACTACTGTCTTTCTAAATCTCAATTATTTGAACTGAAAAGGTTTCTAAGATATAATGCAGGTAGTATTTAAAACTAGTTTTTTTTGTGCACACCTATAGCTAAAAACAGACAAAGTAATTTGGTGAAAATCTGTAAGCAAACAAAATAAAAATATTGCTCAGATTTCATACACTAAAATTTCAGCCTGCTGTGAGTTTTAATGCCAAATTTATACAAACACTATTGACATTCTGTTTTAACACCTGAACTAGACGGTGTAAATGTGGTGAAAAAACCAAACCAGTAATAAAACCAGATCCACAGCTCCAAGAGCTTACTAAAGAGCCTTTCATGGACAATCTAGAAATCTTGAACATGTATACTTCTCTTTTAAGAATTTATTGTTTCTTTTCCAGCTTTGGGAACCAGAGTGGTGTGGGGGGGGGGAGAGGGGAGAGGGACAGAGAAATAGTCCAATAAGAGAGTAAAACCTTAAGTTTTTAAGGTTACAAAGCTAAACAAATAAGCCACAAGTTAGATGTAGCTATACAATTACTACTATAGAAATGCATGGTATTTACTTTGCTACTGACGTTCCTTTTGCAGAATAATCTCTAGAACAAATCTTGTAATTACATAGTAAAAAGTCACAGTCTGACAATGACCACTGCAAAGGAGAATAATTAAACTGTTATCCCAGATTAAAACCTGAGGCAAGGCATTTTATACTTTACTCTGAATCCACTGCTTCTGAAAGAGTGAAGCTGGGAACAAATTTCAGTAAAAAAATAATAATAATAATAATAATAAAATAAAATAAACTCAAATAGCTAAAGAATAAATTTATGAGATACAAAAAAATGTCATTGGCAGATTTCAATCATTGACAAACACCAGTGATTTCTACAGATTCATAGCCCCACTGCTTGCTGGTAATGAACCCATACATATCATCTATTTTTAAGTGGTGATGTCACTATTTACTATGAAAATTAATGTCTTAAAAGTAGGTCATTAAAATAAGTTAAAATTTTACATACTTACCTTGTGGAAAAGAATTTGGTTGCACTAAATAAAGGAAAGAATGGACTAGTCTAAACAAAATTCCTATTGGTCCAGGTTCATGATATGCATTTGTATCATATGTCTTTGCTGGCACAAACCCAAAATCCAAAGTTCCAGGAGGTGGTTTGTGTAAAGGCTGCACCTCTGAAACAGTACTTCCACAAAGCAACAACAGCAGTAAACAAAGTTCCACAGCCATGGCTAAAAGTATTCATAAAATATGAGGTAGAGATTTTGCTCCCCCAAAGTCTAGGAATCTTCAGCACATTAGAAATCTCTTCACTGGGAGTGAGATGTGTTAGCAGGAAAAAGCTGATGTCTTCAGTCCTTTGCTTAGTCTTGGATAATGTACACTGACTTCGGAATGGTGTGGAAGCTCTTCACAGAACTGAGGCAGTGCACCATCTCTGGCAAAGACAGAAAACAACTGTTTAATGAGCGCCTTCACTCCACGAGGATATGAAAATGTGAGATGCCTCCAATCTCATGTGGAAATATAACACAAAAATGATTATACTGGCAAGCTAAATAGGGCAGAATAGACCAATTTATTCCCATGTGTGAAAAAACTGATCCATTATACACACAATACTTGAGGAAATCACTGATTATTCACAGTTTTGACTGAGCCTTTAAAATAAAACAAATAAAAAAAAATCACAGTATTAGGACTGCAGCATAAAGAGCAAATGAAATCAAAGGAACAAATATTTACTTTACTTATAATTGTAATAAAGTCAGATGTATTGTATTTAGTCACAAAATAATCAGAGTGCACTTTATGAATGCTTTAACATTAACTCCAAATGCATGTAGACAGCCACACAAGGACTGATATACATAAGCAGATGATTAATACAAAAAAGAACTTCTCTGCCCTGAGAATTCATAACTTCCCAATGTTGCAAAACTTTTTTTTCCCCACATAGGTTAGCAGAGGCATATTTATCTTTACTCTTGTGGCATTATTTTATTGACGGAGAAGCCATAGATTACCACCTATCAAAGAAGGATTTAAACTTTCAATTCATTTTATAGTGTCAGTAACATATGGTCATGGGGAAAAAAAATTTCTGGCATACAACATTGTAGGGACATCAGATAGGGTATGTGGACTTTAAAAATAAAATATGGATTAAAACATCTACCTTGTGCATTTTCTAATACTAAAATTTAATATACTTAATTCCCTCAAACATAAAATACCCACCAAAAACCAATCCCCCACATATTTAGTATTACATATTTCCCTTTCAACATAGCAAATAATGTAATGTAAGTTATTCTGCACTTTCAATTTGTAACCAAAATGAAGCTAAATAATTTCACTGATGCTGAATGATCTAGATTCAAGAAACACCTTCTCTGCCAATTACTGAAAAAATCTGCTTGCCACAGGTAGACAGGAAGCTTTCCCTGTAAAGCACGAATGGGTCTCATCCACAAATTCTGGCTAACTGTAAGGCTTTCCACAAGGCTCTGTCCTTGGCCTCCTTCTCTTCTCTCTCAAAAAGTAATCTCAGCCACAAACACAAATTTAACTACCATCTGTATGCTGACGCTCACAAATCTACCTTTCTACTAAAGACCGGTCTTCTGTCCAAATTAAAAACTTGGCCTGTCTCTGATAGACATCCATGAAGAGCTCTCTGTCAGCTCAAGCTCAACGTGGCTAAAACAGAGCTCTTAATCCCCCACCCCACCAATCCTCCCTGCAGCCCCCTTTCTCAAATCACTGTGGAAAACACTACCAATCCTACCTGTCACTCAGGCCTGTAAGCTGGGTGTCATCTTCAACTCGGACCTCTCTCTGGGTTCTCATCATTTCACATCACAATTACTCCAACCTCCTTCTCTCTGGCCTTGACAAATGGCCACTGATATCCATTCAAAGTGCTGCTCCAAAGCTCATTTTCCTAGCCCATTGCTTTGACCATGTAACCCCTCTTTGCATCCCATCACTGGCTCCCTCTATCATTTCAAACATCAGTTATTTGTCTTATTATTGTAACCTACAGCCACCCTACCCATCATCTCTCATTCAGCATTGAAAAGTCGACTCCCACATCCGTTCAACCCATGTCAGCCTCCATCACCCACTTGTTAAAAATTTTCAAACACACACCTTTGTGCTTTCTTCCATGTTGCCCCTCATGCTTGAGAGTAACTCTCCATAAACATTTACAAAACTAACTCATTATCCTCCTTCAGAACGCTCCTTTGCTGTGAGGCCTACAAAAAACAGGAGAATAGACCTGAGACCACTGCCTATCTTGCTGGCCAATACTGTCCCATAGTTTCCTTTTAATTCCAGTCTGTCTGCTTCACCTGTTGTCGCTTGTCTTATACCTAGATGTAAACTTTTTGGGGTAGGAACAGTCTTTTTGTTTTGTGTTTTTACAGCGCCTAACACAAAGGGGTTCTGGTCCATGACTGGGGCTCTGATGCACTATGGTAATATAAATAATATAACAACATGAACCAATGAGGTATGGTCTTTTTGAGTAAGTGAACTCAACTCTAATGATTCTACCGCTGGTTGTAGCTTCCCAAAACAGTGAAATTAGCAAGACTCTGATCAATTCTACATCTTTTATTAAGAAACCTGAGAGCAGTAGTGAAAATACAAGAGTCATGTCAATTTCACTGCTTAGGAAGTCTATAAGCAAAAAGTCAATACTGTTCATTTCAAATGAAGCATATGAATTTGCCTGTGTGTCACTGAGGCCTAGTTAGACAACTCCGCCAACTCAGCCCTGGGCCAGTTGGCCGGTACTGCCCATTTAGTACAACATAAGCAGAAAAACAAAAACAAAAAAGATGAGGAGTGCCATTTCTGTTCTCCTGTGACTTCGTATGCCAAAAATGCTCTTTCTTAAAGGCTAAATCCTTCAAGAGCATCCATCTGTAATACAAATCCAAGCACAGGACAGATCCAGACTCCTGCTGGCGTACAGCCCTCAACTGACTGCAAACTCCTTACAGGGGCCAATCAAGCTACTGTCTAGCACTCTACTGGAGTCTCCTAGATTCCTTGCCCTTCAGGACATCAATACACATATAAAGGACACCTGTAACACCTTAGTCATATATTGTCATGTATGTCAACCACTAATTTCTTCTGAATTGTGTCTGGACCCATATGCTGGACTGAGCTTTGGCCTATGAGTGGAAATGAGGAATATAAGCAGCTTACTGTTTTCCTGGTCCAACAGTACTTTCTCCCAGCAGAGTTCATGACTTTCCCAATAGGGTGACCAGATGTCCTGATTTTATGGAACAGTCCCAATATTTGGGGCTTTGTTTTATATAGGCGCCTATTACCCCCCAGCCCCATCCCGATTTTTCACAATTGCTGTCTGGTCACCCTATTTCCCAAGCAAGAGGCGAACCACCCAGACTGGCTCATCCTTGAAGGGTCATGAATCTGGTGAGCTTCTAGAACGTCCTGGAAGAAAAGAACCATCCACCTGGAGGACCAACGGGTAAAATAGTAAAGCATGTGTATTGTTTGTATTATCAAACAACCCCTGTCTCCCAGATCTCCATGGTGCACCCAAGTCTGATGAAGCATGAAGGCAGAAAACTACAATGGTGTTGGTGGTGATGGGTTCTCTTGCAGAAGTACACCACAGCTATGGGGAAATCTAAGAACCTTTTCCCATCCTCCATCGCCCCTGCTAAATTACACACAGCAAGTGTTCTGAGGAGAAATCCAGTTTATCAACCTGGACTACACCAAGCTACACCACAGATCCATTACTTATTGTTGCAAAGAGCGATAAACATGCTTTGTTCAAAATATCAGTCAAAAGCTAGAGGAGCTCTCTGAGACCGAATAATCCAAAATCAGAGCCAGGAACAAAGACTATTCCTCCCCTTCATGGTGTTCAGCTTCTATTTCCTCTCAGTAACTGGCCTATCTTTACTAGAAAAAGCCAGGAAAGAACAACTCTAATAATACTCTAAATATTTGAAAAACCCTATGCCTTATTCAAAAAAGGCAGTCTTTCCAACTACCCTGAAGCATGACGCTCAATACAGTAGTCTAAAAGCTACACATATAAATTCAAATATTTCAATGTTTTCAAAGCAATAACTGATTGTTGCAAAGCATCTATGCTATGAACGAAACAGATATATAGGCCCAAAGGATATCTTATATTTCCCCCCCCCAATTTGTTTACTTCATTCTTTAGTCTTCAAAATTTTCTTCATCATGGATTGCTATCTTATCCCTTTATATACTGCCCTATGACTAAATGTAACAAGCAGCATACACTGTAAATTGCTTAGAATGCCTCTAACTATGATGTTCCTACCATTCCATAATTAAAGTTGGGTTCTATTTCACACTTAAAGTTAACAGAAGTTCAACCTCTTTATTTTGTATGAAAAAAAAAATAGTACTTTGGCCCCATGAATACAACTTCTGAGTGCAATTTGAATTTTCTGATAATTTTCAAGTAAATCTATTATTTAGCTTCTGAGTGCTAATCAATTAGAGTCTGATTCAATGGTTAATGAAGTCAGTGGAAAGGTTCCAATTGACTTCAATGGGTGATAAATTGAGCCCTTAATTGCCAAACCTGAGTATGTTTAGTTTCACAGAATTATGCAGACAAAAGTAAAGCACTATGAAGGTGCCTTCTTGATGGAGAAAAACAACTATTACCACCAGTGACACTCTGATGAAAATATTACGTCATACACTAACAACATTAAAAGATTAGTAGGCTTAACAGAAGAATGCTGTTGAAAATGCAAGGTCCAATCCCATATTTCAGGACACTAATGGCACCCTGCTATGAGGACATGAATATAAATGTTCTTCAATTCTACAGATGCCAATGAAATCCCCAGATGCTATCATTATAAATATAAATAAATTTAGCAACCACACTTTAGAAATAAAATAGTTTTCGCTCCCCTAGCCTCTTGGGAATCAAAAAGGAATACCTCTAGAATCCTTATTGGGGTCTCTATCCTCCCTCTAACAGGTGGTATTTCTTGCCACGCTATTTCAAAAAACAGAGTGTAAATTCTCTTCAAGACCAGTGCTCTGTAAAGCACCAGCACATTATGGGCGCTATATCAATAGTAATAGTAATAATAATAATCAGGAGCTTGCAGAAATGTTACCAATCCTATGGCTCAAAAAGCCAATGTGCATCTGAATAGGAATTGCACTCACTGAATGACAGCTCCCCTACTCAAATCACAAGGGATCTGGGCTATGAATGGGATCCTTCTGTTTTCCTTATCTTGCTACGCAAACAAAAACTTTTTGGAAGTTTGTTGCTAGCTAACGATGCTACAGTAGATTGACAGCGTTGGAAAAAGAAACCTATCCACAGAATATGTAATCAATAAAAACGCCACCAATCCCCAAGGCAAAGGTGCAAGAGCGACAAAAAAAATGCTACAAACATATATGAGAGTTTATTTCTATGACACTCTTCACCATAGCACAAGACCTTTGTATCATTAGAAACAAAAGGCACATTATACTCTACTCTTGCGCCTTGTGAACTACATTCATGGCCATACACAGATTCTTCATATTCAGTATGTGTGTGGGCAGGGGAACAGAGCTGTATAATATTTTAACAGATTTTTATTAATTAATTCACACGCTACCAGACATTCATTTTAATGTCCTTGTTTTCCATGAAAACCTTAAGTTCAGCTACATAAAATGTAACTGAATGGAATAATTTAGTTTATTTCTCATTGTAATTTGCACAGGTATTAGTTTTCATCTTTAAAAATACTAGATTTTGGCTTTTTTTCCCCCCTGAACTCCTCCTCATACTTTTCTATGTACAGAAGTCACTATACCAGAGGTGGGCAAACTATGGCCTTCGGGCCACATCCGGACCTTCAGACGTTTTAATCTGGCCCTCGAGGTCCCACTGGGGAGCGGGGTCCAGGGCTTGTCCCGCTCTGGAACTCCAGCCGGGGAGCGGGATTGGGGGCATGGTTTCGTACGGCTCCTGGAAGCAGCGGCATGTCCCCCCCCCCACACGTAGGAGCAGCCAGGGGGCTCCGCATGCTGCCCCCACCCCAAGTGCCAGCTCCACAGCTACCGTTGGCTGGGAACATACCCAGATGTGACCCTCAGACCAAAAAGTTTGCCCACCCATGCACTACACCCAACTCTAGGGCATCTGCGGTCTATCACTCTGTAGACCATGCCACAAACTTTTGTATAAAAAGTATGCTATAATACTAACTCCATATATATAGCACGTTTCATCCAAGATTCTCAAGTCACCTTACTACATTAGTTAAGCTTAGACATGCCTGACACATAGGTAGGTATCCCCTTGTTATACTGTGTGAGTCTGTATCCACAAAAACCACAGGAGTCTGGTGGCACCTTAAAGACTAACAGATTTATTTGGGCATAAGCTTTCATGGGTAAAAAACCGCCTTTTAAACATCAGGGACTGCAGAACACAGTAGCAAAACAATAAAGAAAACTAATACTGAATATTCTCAACTTGCATCTAACATGCATATTGTGAGTTCAAAACGGGAGAATGGCTTGAGTCACAGCAGCCAGATATGCAGAACATAGGATGGCATTTTCTGGATCTGTTTAAAAAAAATCAAAGATTTAAAAAGAAAAATTTAAAAATTGCGTTGTGTTTCATTGAAACACAGCAAAATCCTTTATAAGGAGGTGAGAATTTTAACAACTGCCTTAAAATTAATTCCAAGGGAGGCAGTCTCCATCCCCAAGAAAGAAAGACTTGGCAGCTACTCTAATTTTAGCCAGTTGACCAAATGTTTAGATTATAGATTCATTAAGTGGAACAGAAAAAAAAAAATCAGCTTGTTTGCTCTGATAATATTTATAAAGCATGCCCTACGAGGGCACTGTAGAGCAATAATAAAAGATTATAAAAACATTAAACATTATGAAGCCATTCCATAAAAAGGAAATCTGCTGTGCTGACAGATCAGAACTGGTGGGGTATGCTGGAAAGGTTCTAATGCAGAGGAAAATGGATTACAACAGATAACTGCGTACATAATATCGCACAAATGGGACAAGACCATCCCCCCTTCTTCCCAATTATATTTAAACAGTTGGGATTCCCCCCCTCTCTCCACCAGTTTAATTCTAAAAATTACATAGTATGATTTGTGGTTAAACTCTGTCTTGGTTGGAGTTACAGAACTGATTTTACGGCTTCTTTCTTAATTTCTTCCCTGGGTATGATGCATGGAAGGTGACAGAGCCAACTCCTCTCCCCCCGCCCCTTCCCTTCTCCACCCCACAAAACAAACACTTCATGATTGAGTTCACCCTGCTGGGACCAGAATGTAATCATTCATGACCTTTCAATAGGATTTGTCCTAAACTACAGTGACTAATGGTCAGTAACTCATAAGCTAACTCAACTCTTCACAGTCACCTTTGAGCACAATAAAATGTTGTAACATATATGAAGCTATGAGGTGAGCATGGCTGGGTCTCTGCTTCAAATCTGGATTCAAGATTTGACTGCAGATACGACAGCATAGTTTTGCTTATTACAACCACACCTCTTGAACCTGCTAGATGAAGTCGTTTCTAAAACAGCACCGTATTCATCTCCATAGTGTGGTTAGTCAGTGTGGTATACTAGTTAATCTCTCTGGAGGTCCTCATTTTTCTCCCACAGTACTGCCTTGTGCTTGTCTCACATCCAAACCCTCACACGCAGATTGACTCCATTTCCTTTGGAAGAGTCAATGACCCCAACATACACTACATACCCTTCTCAGCAAAATTCATGCAGACACAGCATTAGGGGGCCAAGGAATCATCTTCATTCACAGCAGAGAACATACGGTCCCACCACAATGCTTTATATAATGGGAAGCATGTTTCACCCTTCCATTATACACGCCTCACCCCTTCATAGTGTTTTCTATAGAGGGACCCTCTCTTCCCTCAATGCTTCCTATGGGGGGTCCTTCTGCTCCCCTCCACCCCACATCCACTGTTTTCTACAGCAAGGTCCCACTCCCTTCTCCCATGGCTACTACAGGGGATCCCTCTCCCGCACACTACAAATGGTGGCGCTAGGCATGAGCAGACTGAGCAATTGATTAGTGGCCCAAGAAGCTCAAAGGGGTCCTGATTTAGTATTACCCCCAAAATACTGTTCATGGTATTGAGCGTGGGCTTTTTAACAAACGATTAATATGTATTAAGTTGGCATATTTTTTTGGTTTGTACAAATAACACAATCCGTATTTTAGGGGTGGGTGAGGGATCAGGCCCCACCCCAAATATCCCTGCTTAGGGCCCCCCCATGGGCTAGCACTGCCTCTGCTACAATGCTTTCTATGGAGGTACCTCTCCATTCTCTACAGGGGTTACCTCTCTCCCGCACACCCCGATGTTTTCTATACCCTCTCATACCCCACGCCAATGGGCTGCCACACCACAGCCAGGCTTTTCTGGACCCCGACCGGCACTTCCTGCGGACCCCGCCACCCAGGGAATAGCAGCAACTCGCAGGGCAGGACCCGTGCACTCTGCCCCGCAGCCTAGGTGCAGCCCCCTCCCCCCTAGCTTCCCCACCAGGGGCTGCGCGGCGTTGGGACCCCTCCGCGGTCTCCACCCTCCCTGCAGAGCAGCCCGTCGCGCCGCACCAGCCGGGAGCCGGACCACGGCAGCCGCAAGTGGCCGGCGCGCGGGGAGAGCCAGCCGAGCACTCACCCCGGGGACAGCCCGCTCCTGCTCCGGCTGGTCCAGCGGCTCCCGGCTCGGCGTGCTGAGCCTCCCCACTCGGCCGCCTCCCCGCCAGGCCCCCCAGGCAGGCGCCGCCCTCTGCCGCACGCACCAATCAGCAGCTCCCCGCGCCCCACACCCAGCTCATGAATGATGCAGAGCGGGGGCTGCGGGACGCTGAAGTCGTGCAAGGGGGCCGCACGCTGGGTTCCCCAGCAGCATGCACAGCTCGGCCACCTGTTGCTTTCTGTGCAAGCCGAGTATGGGGGGCAAAGAGACCCCGCCCCCCAGAGCTGCACGCCCCGAACTTTAGGCCTCCTAAAACTTCAGAGCTGGGTCCAAGTTGTGCAGGTGGTTCTTGCAGGAGCCTGATGGTCTCCAACGGCCAGGGGTTCCGGATCCAGTCTTCACAGATCGCCCCTTATTTCTGCAGTGGGGCAAACCAAAAACCGGGGCCCAAAAGACACCTCTTCGCTGTGAAGAGTTCAAACTCAAAACGGATCCAATGGGACAGAATCCCAATACGTAGTAAGCTGAACCAAAATCTGAGCACCTCAAAAAACTGGGGAGAAACTAGAGTTTAATTTTGTCAGTTGACTCCAGCCTCCCACTTTTACCCCCTAGATTGGTGATTTGTGAATGCCCTTCTGCCCCTATTCTGGGGTTTAAGAAAGCAGCACTTAATATTCTTTTGCAATCCCACAGTTATGCTTTCCTGTAAATTACATTATTAAAAGCCAATTCTATCTTTGGCTTTTGGAACAATATCTTATTTTATCTTTTCTGAGGTTGCCCTGGTTTCCTAACAAGATTATACTTTCTACTCCCAGGACTCATGTCCTTGTTTCTAAGTGGTTCCTTTGGCTTCTAAAAGAGACCAGTGATTTATCAGTAGGACAGGGAGCCAAATTAATTTCCCCAAACTCTCTATTTCCTATATGTCAATCTGCAAGAACTTCCATTCTCTAGGGACTGTATTTGTGTGTTCCTTGTCACACATCGTGTATTTTTTTATTTGCAGCTTTGAGATTTTAGCTTGGTTTTAAGAACAGAAGAATGGCCATACTGGGTCAGATCAATGGTCCACCTGGCCCAGTATCCTGTCTTCCAACAGTGGCTGTTGCCAGATGCTTCAGAGGGAATGAACTGAACAGGGCATTTATCAAGTGATCCATCCGCTGTTGTCCAGTCCCAGCTTCTGGCAGTCAGCAGTTCAGGGACACCCAGAACATGGGGTTCCATCTCTGATCATCTTAGCTAATTGCCATTGATGGACCTATCAGCCATGAATTTATCTGATTCTTTTTTTGAACTTGGTTATATTTTGGACCTTCACAACATCTCTTGGCAATGAGTTCCACAGGTTGACTCTGCTTTGTGTGAAGTAGTACTTTCTTAGGTTTGTTTTAAACCTGCTGCCTATTAATTTAATTGGGTGACACCCAGTTCTTGCATTGTATGAAGGGGTAAATAACGCTTCTCCAACTGGGTTTTCCCCAACTGGAATATCAAAACATAACTGGTAGGAATAATTCTTGTGCACTTTTCACAGAGTCAGTCTCACTTTTCAGCACTCATGGCACAGTAAGAATTTACATTGGTGAAATGAGATCAGAACGCTGCCCTAGATATCCCTAAAAACATTGAAAAAAAATAGAAGGTTTTTATTTCCTTTTTTCACTCTGTTTGCAGATAGAAATAACTGACAGAGGTGGAAAGAAACCAAGGACACAGCTATCTCAAAGGACAGGATCTACAGCAGTAAAATATCCTCAGGGAAAATAAACGTGTAGCAGCCAAATTGGAAGCATTCAAGAATGAACTAGAGAATGAGGAGTTCAGATTCAATAGTACATCACCTAAAATAGGCACAAATGATTGGGCAACATTTGTTTCCAAATAGCAAATGCAGGTCATGAGCACCCAAAACTTTTTTTCAAACTATCTACTGAATTTGATTCCTTTGCCCCATATAAAAATAAAATGGAAAGGCAAAATTTCAGTGCAAGTTTGATTATTGTACCTACAGGCTACAGAGGTAAGTCATACAGTTACAGAGATAAATAATTGCAGGGATGCATAGGGGAGAGTTCAGAAATTTGGAAGAGAGAATGTATCACCCTGAGGGTGAGGGTGACATGAGAAGTCAGATATAAATTAAATTTAGCTCTGCTTGGCCAGAAGAAACTCAAGTTTTCATTTGGCTCATCAATGGTGAGCTACAACTATACTATTATATGAAAAACAACAGTAGTTCGCATATCCCTGTAAGTGGGTTGCTTCTGAAGTACTTACATGGAATTATAGGCAGATATGCTAATTTTCACAAAATAGAGTTAGTTTTTTCAAAAATAAGTTTGTCAATGAAACTAATTTGCTAATGTTAGGCAAGTCCATGCCTTCCATTCAAAATGAACAATGCATAACATCTTTCCCAGCTTTTGATGTATAGGGTGGTGAATGAAAGAAAGGTATAACTTTCCAGTTATGTTTGGGTTTCCTTATACTACAGGTGTCTAGTCTTGAGGCACTTGAAAGTGACTGTCAAGATAATTTGTATTGGACTATCAATTGAAAATGTGTTTGCTGAGTGACACACTGATTTTTAAATGGAAATGTTTGAATTAGCCTTATCACCATGAGATGGTGGATGGGGGCCTGACCTCACCATCTGCCTTCTACTGCTTTGCCTGCAACTCCAGGAGCAGCTCTGATGTGATCCAAGAGCACTCTGAACAGCTGCTGACCTTTCCCTGCTACAGCTGCTCAGCAGTTTCCCTACTGATTCCTGCTGCACCTCAGGGGAGGGAGAAGAGAACAATTCTGATTGCTCTGTTCCTGTTGGATGAGGGATAGCAGGGTGGGAGCTCAACTGGTTCTGCCTGAGTCTAGGAAAGCGCCTAGCAAGTGATGGCTCCCTTGCCCTAGGCAGCTCCCCAAGTGCAGCCCAGAAGAGTGGGGAAAAGAGAAGAAAGCTGAGAACTAACAGACAGTAATGTCCCCCTGATTTTCTGACCTGGAACAAGTTTAAGCAGCCTAACTTGGCAAGCACCAACTTACAGCAGCTCGCAATGGTCCTCAAGGCCCAGATCCACAAAATGACTGCCCATGTTAGGCACCTAAGTCCAATATTTAAGCAGCACTGTGATCCTCAGAACCCTTGCTTTACTGCTGCCCAACTCTGGAGGCACCTAAAATCTCTCAGCACCTAAATTTTCACTGTACAAGTTCCCTAGGCTTCAGCGCCTATGTGTCTGCCTCTGTGCATGAGCACTGCTCGCTCAGGCTGGTGCCTGGGCACCTATCTCTCACTTGAGTCCCAGCATAATCCTCAAGCCATAAGAACATAAAAACTGGGTCAGACCAAAGGTCCATCTAGCCCAGTATCCTGTCTTCCGACAGTGGCCAATGCCAGGTGCCCCAGAAGGAATGAACAGAACAGGTAATCATCAAGTGATCCATCCCCTGTGGCCCATTCCCAGTTTCTGGCAAACAGAGGCTAGGGACACCATCCCCCCCTACCCTGGCTAATAGCCATTGATGGACCTTATCCTTTGAGAATTTATCTAGTTCTTTTTTGAACCCTGTTATAGTTTTGGCCTTCACAACATCCTCTGGCAAGGAGTTCCACAGGTCGACTGTGTGTTGTGTGAAAAAATACTTCCTTTTGTTTGTTTTAAACCTGCTACCTATTAATTTCAGTGGGTGACCCTTGGCTCATATGTTGTGTGAATAGGTAAATAACACTTCCTTGTTCACTTTCTCCGCACCATTCATGATTTTATAGATCTGTGTCATATCCCCCCTTAGTTGTCTCTTTTCCAAGCTGAAAAGTCCCAGTTTTATTAATCTCTCCTCAAATGGCAGCCATTCCAGACCCCTAATAATTTTTGTTGCCCTTTTCTGAACCTTTTCCAATTCTAATATATCTTTTTTGAGATGGGGTGACCACACCTGCACACAGTATTCAAGATGTGGGCGTACCATGGATTTATATAGAGGCAATATGGTATTTTCTGTTTTATTATCTATGCTTTTCTTAATGATTCCTAACATTCTGTTTGCTTTTTTGACTGCCGCTGCACATTGAGTGGATGTTTTCAGAGAACTATCCACAATGATTCCAAGATCTCTTTCTTGAACTAATTTAGACCCCATCATTTTATATGTATAGTTGGGATTGTGTTTTCCAATGTGCATTACTTTGCATTTATCAACTTTGAATTTCATCTGCCATTTTGTTGCCCAGTCACTCAGTTTTGTGAGATCCCTTTGTAACTCTTCGGAGTCTGCTTTGGACTTAACTATCTTGAGTAGTTTTGTATCATCTGCAGATTTTGCCATCTCACTGTTTGCCCCTTTTTCCAGATCATTTATGAATATTTTGAACAGTATGGGTCCCCGTAGAGACCCAGGGGGTACACCACTGTTTACCTCTCTCCATTCTGAAAACTGACCATTTATTCCTACCCTTTGTTTCCTATCTTTTAACCAGTTACCAGTCCATAAGAGCACCTTCCCTCTTATCCCATGTCAGCTTACTTTGCTTAAGAGCCTTTGGTGAGGGACCTTGTCAAAGGTTTTCTGAAAATCTAAATACACTATATCCACTGGATCCCTCTTGTCCACATGCTTGTTCACACCCTCAAAGAATTCTAGTAGACTGGTGAGGCATGATTTCCCTATACAAAAACCATGTTGACTCTTCCCCAACAAATTATGTTAATCTATGTGTCTGACAACTTTGTTCTTTACTATAATTTCAAGCAATCTGCCTGGTACTGAAGTCAGGCTTACCGGCCTGTAATTGCCGGGGTCGAATCTGGAGCCCTTTTTAAAAATTGGCGTCACATTAGCTATCCTCCAGTCATTTGGTACAGAAGCTGATTTAAATGATAGGTCACAGACTACAGTTAGTAGTCCTCAAAGTTTCACAATTGAGTTCCTTCAGAACTCTTGGGTGAATACCATCTGGTCCTGGTGACTTATTACTGGTTAGTTTATCAATTTGTTCCAAAACCTTCTCTAATGACACCTCAATCTGGAACAGTTCCTCAGATTTGTCA